AGTGTGTCACCACTAATTATACCTGTTATAAATTCATTAACTGACCATCAAGTGAATGATGACAAATAACATGTGTAGGTTTATACCACCTAACACGGGTTACAACAAGGGAGTATTAATTGCTGTATTGCATGTGAAAACTTATGGGCCGACACTGTTTTGAGAATACAAACAGATTTGTACATGACATGATTAAATATCGAGGTAAACAAACACAGAAATGGGATCAATTTGGATCAGTCATTATACAAATAGGGCCTAATGACACCAATCAATTGTGACAGAAGCGTCTATGAAAACAAGATGTAACTCGGAAACTAGGCAAAGCAGGAGACAAAATTAAATGACAGTAGATTGTGAGAACATATAGCTTTCATTTTCCACAACAATTGTCACGATTTCAGGTTTATACAAGCCTGTAAACAAGATAATTTACCCCCTAAAATGTAGATGAATTCTGCATCGGCCCTCAAAGCTATTCCTCATAAACATTATCATAATAACACTGTTCAAAAAAGGAATGACTAAACACGTCGTCCTAACAACCTAATATTCCCGTTGAATGACTAAACCATCTATAGAACCGTATGAAATCGGTATCAAGCTAAAGTTTCTGAAACGTTTGCATTGTATGTCTGTATAGAATGCAAAGAGCATATAGCGGACTGGTTGATACTTTACTGAGTAGCATTTTTAGAAGTTGGGAAGTACAGTACAGACACACTTTATGGATAACAATTGACGTTTCGATACAGAGATTATTGTACCGATGTCAAGCAGGAATGAGAAGGGTTAAATAATCTGTATCGAAACGTAGCACTCACGAAATAAAACACGTTGTTATCCATAAAGTTTGTCTATATTTCTTTACATTTTGTTTGAAAATATTCTTTGAATTTCGTCAATTTATATATTATAAGTTTCCTGACATTCGGGTGAAGGTTACTGAACAGAGAGTTGAACTGAAATTAATGAAGCAGTGATAGTGATATGCAATTCTCACTTAAAATCAGATCTTCCACTCAGCCATGCATGTTACCTCTCTACTAAAGCGATTCAGTTTCAGGTCCAAACTGAGGATCCCCGACCGCGTCATACCAAAAGACGTTAAAATATGGTACTTGTTGGTCCCTGCCTGGCGCTCGGCATTAATGGGTACAACAAGGACTGGTCCGCTCGGAGTCAGTATAATGTGTCTGAGTAGGGTATTCATGCTTCACCGCGGCATGGTATCTCAGTGGGCTAGCACTATAAAACCAGCTTAAGTCTGGGCTAGTACAAGCAGCCGCACATACACATACACACGCATGCACGTCGTCATATGAGCGAAATATTCTCAAGCACGACGTACAACCCAATTTCATTTCACCTCACCTCACCTCACCTCACCCAAACTGCGGAAAAATTCGAACTGTACATGCAGATGTCTATGTTGCCTTCAGGTACCTACATATCTGCCCGTTTCATCGGATGATGCAGTGGTTTTCCATGAACACATAATCTCCTACACCAGGGTCCCTTCCACAAAGCCTTCGTAGCTACCACATGAGTAAGCCTATGATAAACAATAGAGATACGACAGGTCGTAACGTTAAGAGCGCTTTGTGGATCGAGATTCTGCATCTTAACTACTTCCGTTTTCCATTTATGCTATGTATCTCCAGTATTCTGCACAGCAAACACCTCTCAAATATATTCCAAACTATGTCTTAGAGTGCCGTATGTTCTAAACGTGTGCTCTTAAAATTAGTGAGAGAGTGAATTTAGTTTCACGCCGCTTTTAGCAATATTAAAGCAATATCATGGTGGGGGACACCAGAAATGGGCTTCACACATTGTACCCATGTGTGGAATCGAACCCCGGTCTTCAGCGTGACAAGCGAACGCTTCAGCCACCAGGCGGCCCCATCGCCCCCTCATACAATGAAGTATTTCCATGTATTCATAATGGTCCTTACACGCAAGGGAATAAATTAATTTAATGAAGTCAGTTTTGAAGTTGATGGAAATATTATGGAGATGAATTGCACTGGGGTCATGCATCAAATTGCTGAAAAGCATGTGCAAATATCGTGCATGTGGACAGCTGCGTTTTGGTGTAAAGTTTTGTTAATAATTCGCCAATTTTCACTGAGTTTCATCTTTTATTGAACTCATGACAGTAATCTTTTAAACGTTACGAATTTGTTTTACAATACATGTGTAAACAGTACCTCTAAGCAGTATGGACTATTTTGCAAAGTCTAGTTTAGAACAAATGACTGAAGTAAGTGGCTACATTTACACAATTGAGTATAAACGTTTGATGGGTAGTATATATCGGGCAAACTTGAGTTATGTTGAAAGCAGGGCAATAACAATTTATCTCATCAAATTAACTTAGCCTTACAGGTCTACAAGGGGCGGTGGGGTAGCCTATTGGTTGAAGCGTCCGCTCGTCACGCCGAAGACCCGGGTTCGATTCCCCACATGGGTACAATGTGTGAAGTCCATTTCTGGTGCCCACTGCCGTGACAGTGCTGGAATATTGCTAAAACGGCGTAACATCACATTCACTCACTAACAAGTCAACAGGAAAGCATTGCACCTACACGTGTATGTTAACCTCACAGAGCAAAGTGTAAATCAAGAGAATAGGTTCGTGTCTTATCTTTCAGAAAATATGCTTATTATTTTTATCGGGGATAGTGTAATGTAAGATGACCCATATGGATATATGCTATTTACTCCACAACTAGTTTGGATTACATCATCTCAATATTTGGTTGGGGTAAAATGTATGCAGTTATCATCACTCTCGCTCGTGGGTTGTTTGGTTGGGTTGTGAGTATTGGGGGCCTGGATTTGGATTAAAAAGACTTTATTTTGGTCGTTTTGACCTCATTTGCAGATTTGACGTACGATGTACAAAACGTATGGAAGAAGAAATCCCCCCTTTTTTGCACAGGTGAACAAATCGCTAGCCAGTGTTGCGAGTCCCGCCGACTGGGTCAGGGACCCATTTCTCAAGCACCCAGTGTAACCGCTGTTTGTTAGTGACACTTCCCTAAGGGGAAATTATTAAAGGAGGATCCCTTTGTTGCACACGACGACCAATCATGTCCCAGATATGCTCCAAAGGGTTCAGATCGGGGCTCATTCAATCGTGAGATATGTCAGGGGGTGCTTAACTAAGTTCTTGGTGTATACATTGAAACGTCGCTCTGTGCAATAAACAAGAAGTTGTCGTCCATGCAAGTTGTATGTTTCATTCCCGACTCACCAACTTCTAGAACGCTGTGGCGTGACTTCCACTTACCCCAAAAAAGGTTATTAATGCCACGATCACTTGAATGAACATGCCAGACGATCTTCTTTAGACGCCATTTTATTCAAGCCCACCAAACTCACTTTCCTACCCAGAGTTCCATGCAATCATTTATTATTTATAATCATGGACGTTGTCGCTTTTGTTAACTGCTTGTTAAGTGTCGGTATAAAGTCTGTGATATCAGCTTTATTGCCTTGCGTGTCACAACCTTAACATCTTCACGACGGTATATTTTCCGACAAATAATGCAACTGTGTTTGTTTCCAGTTATTGTATTTATTTGAGGGTGATGAGGGTTTTTGTGTGATGGATGGCCTAACATCTAAATAAGATAAGCCTCCTTATGAAATATCTGTAGACGATGTTTACGGATTGCTCTGCTCTGGTACAGAAGTCATGCCCTTCCGTTTTAATCTTAAATTTTAAAGTTTTCAGTTCCTTGTTAATAAATTCTCGCCCCTTATCCGATCTCCTAATGTCGGGTGGAGTAGCAAGGGAAACTTCAAGGTAGTAATGACAGCATCGGGAATTTTAATTTTCAAAGGAAAACGCATGAATACATTGACAGCTGAAAACAAGTATTTCACATCGTCCTTGTCTACGGCTAAATTGATTATGTCAGTTATGTATACCAAAATAGGTGTACGTTTATTATTAAAATTAATGCTGGACAGATATTCCAACATTCAGCAGACACGGTGAAGAAAGATTTGTTGAGAAAACAAGTAATGCGTGGCTTATACACAGGCACCCGTTATCGCTATGTAGGTTAAACATAGACCATAGATCTACTCACGCGTCATATATATAAATAGATCTACTCACGCATCATATATATAAATAGATCTACACACACGTCATATATATGAATAGATCTACTCACGCGTCATATATATAAATAGATCTACACACACGTCATATATATAAATAGATCTACTCACGCGTCATATATATAAATAGATCTACACACACGTCATATATATAAATAGATCTACTCACGCGTCATATATATAAATAGAGTATTTCTATATATGACGTGAGTGTAGATCTATGGTCTATGTTTAACCTATGATAGCGATAACGGACTCCTGTGCTTTTATACACAGGAACCCGTTATCTTCAACTGTTAACTTTACTTTGGTAATAACTGTGAAGATCCGGGTGAAAATAGGTCTTCAGCAATCCATGCTTGTCGTAAGAGGCGACTAACGGGATCGAGTGGTCAGGCTCGCTGACTTGGATGACACATGTCATCGTATCCCAATTGCGTAGGTCGATGCTCATGATGTTAATCACTGGATTATCTCGAGACGACTTAATTATTTACAAGCTGCTTTCATATAGCTGGAATATTGCTAAGCGCCTCTTTAAACAGCAAATGTTTCAGTATAGTCTGAGGAAAGCATTTTGGGGTTAAACTTTATTTACAAAAAGTTTCACAATCGTGTCATTAGAAGATCGCTTTATGATATCTGCCATGATTCTGAAAGTTTACTTCACACTATAGATAATGAGTTTAAAACAGATACATGGTATCCTCCGTTCTCAAAGATTTTAAACGCGCATTAAAGATTATAAAAAACAGGAAAACAACCCCACATCCACGACAAATACTTAACATTTAATTTCACGACTTGTCATTGTGGTGGCTTAGACCACGGCATGGCGTCTTAGCCATTTCCGCCAACGAGTGACGTCACACTGCGATGACGTCATAGACTGTAGCCTAGGCATAGTTCCTGAAAGACAGTCAGGTGTACGTACATTTTGCACAATGGTGGAAAGTTCACTAGTATATGTTGAGTTTAGACTCTGGAATTTGAAGAACCCAGGCGACATTGAACTTGTCCTAGTGGGCAGCAGTCCAGATTTAGGTCTATGGAATCCTGAAAACGGAACAAGGGCACGATACATGAAGAAACTGGATTTCTGGTTGGTGGAAAAACGCCTCCCTGTTAATTCCTCCCATGATTGGAAATGGGCGATGGCTCATAAAAATGAAGGCCAAATTGTTTGGGAGGAATGCCCAAACAGAAGACTCGAACTAGGAGTTATCGGAGGGAATGCTGATTGTGACTGGAACAGCGCGGGAAGATTCCAGCAGTCTGAATGTCTCCTGTTCGCTGCAACGAACTACAAGACAGACACCCCTTCTGATGCTTTGGTAATGATAGGTTCCACTCCGTCGCTTGGGGAGTGGAATCCTTTTTGCGGTGTGGTGGCTGTAGAATATCCTCTGGGGGCAGGGTATTGGGTGGCCCGGGCTGTGGTTGAGAAGGGGAAACGACATCAGTGGAAGTGGGCGGTGATTGATGAGAACAGGACTGTGAAGAGATGGGAGGAGAGAAGCAACAGGGAGTTCGAAGCGTCAGATGAGATGGTGGAACTTAACGCCCAGTGGAGCTGTGATTCTCTCGTGGAGGATTTTGGTAAGTAGTGTTCACGATCTTCTTGACAGCTTCGGTAACAAGGGGCTTTATGTGTTGGACTTCGCACATGACTGAGAAAGAGTATGTAGGTTTACACACAGAGACAGAGTGGTTTAATCCTTGCTCAATATTGCTGTTTTGCTCCGTTAATATTCACCGTGAAGATCCATGCTTGTGGTAACAGGCGACTAACGGGATCGGGTGGTCAGGCTTGTCATGTCATCGTATCCCAATTGCATATATCGATGCTCATGCTGTTGATCACTGGATTGCGTGGTCCAGGCTCGATTATTTACAGACCGCCGTATACCTGGAATATTGAGTGCGGCATTAAACAACAACCAACCAACCGTTACTATTCAACATGCACGGGTCGCAAATAATAATGAATAAATATCAATGCATGTTGGATGGTAAAAGTGGAAAAGTGCATAGCAACGATATGATGTTGGTCGTTTGAGGCGACTAATGGATTGGTGACCGGTGCCGATGACGTGGGTGAATGTGTACCATACTTTTACATGCACTGGTATGAACTGAAATCGATACTTCATGGCCATTGTCCAGTCAACAGCTCTACAGACATGGACATCTTTCAATCAGCTCACGACTTTGTTAAAAGCAAAAGATTTGAGCAATTTTAAATTCATAAAGAAAGGATATCTGTATTATTATATTCTACCACAGGCCCCTTCCTGGTGTCCCCCGCCGTGATATTCTTGGAATGTTACTAAAAGTGGTGCAAAACCATACCCACTTACTCTGGCTCGCAGAACTGGTGGACGGTAGGGTAGCCTAGTGGTTAAAGCGTTCGCTCGTCACGCCGAAGACCGGGGTTCGATTCCTCACATGGGCACAATGTGTGAAGCTATTGCTGGTGTCCCCCGCCGTGATATTGCTGGAATTTTGATAAAAGCGGCGTAAAACTAAACTCACTCACTTGTACTTTCAGAAGGAGATGTGGAACCGCTTACAAGTTGCTACTACAAGGGGAAGGAAGCTATTGACAGCTGTGAGCACATGCAACAGTACGGGTACTGATCCGGGTAGGACAGCGGGTACCCGATAGAACTGATTCAGAAGACAAGGGCTATGTTATGTCAGCTGTTTTTGAACTTTGAAAGACTACTTCTGGTGGACACGCTTTCGCGCTCAATGTTTTTGTTGTTTTCTTGTAACATATACGGCATAGCGTTATTTTGAACAATATATGGTAAGATATGATAGTGTTTCTGTGTCATGTTGATTGTTTATATCGTGTTTATTCCAAGGTTGATTATTACATATATACAGAGCAAATATGAAGGGATCGTGAATGTTTAGGGGATGTTTAAAAAATTGTGTGTTTAGTCCTCGCTGCCCCAAACACATCCCTAAAATATTTATATGATCCTTATCCATTTTTGTTCAGGTTTCAGTTTTTGAGTAATATATACACATGTTTAATACAGATGTGTATTGTTATACCGTCCTGATTGAGGATGTTGTTTTTATTGTTTAAGCATCATTAAATAAAAGAACATTGTTTTTGTAACTCGTTGTTTAATCTAGTTTGAGAGATTTTGAACCTGTCTTTAAATGAAAAGGGTGACATATACAACGTTTCATTAAAATCATCCTAGAATTTGAAACTTGGTATTCAAGGAGAGTGAGTGAGTCGAATTCAACCTGGGTCTAGATTTTCGAAGCTCTCTTAGCGCTAAGACAGTCGTAAGTGCCATACATTAACATTAACTTACGACTATCTTAGCGCTAAGAGAGCTTCGAAAATCTAAGCCCTGGTTATTTCAGTTAAATAACAGTTTGAATCGGTAGGAAAACAGAAGGGATCCTGGTCTTAGAGGTTTTTAAGTGTCATGAAACATTTCTGTTTTCCTCCCGATTCAAGCTGTAGGCTACTGAAACCAAAATGACCAGCAGTACCCGACAATATCACAGCGGACACAAGAAATGGGGAATCGAACCAAGGCTTTAGGTGTGACCAGTGAACGTTTTAACCACTAGGCTAGCCAGCTGCTCCTAAATATGCCATACCTTCAGATTTACAATCATGGTCAGTAAGGGGTTTGAACCCAAGATTAGCAGAATATTTAGCAACGGATGGGCACTGGGCAGACACCTGTGTTACGACGTTACGACGTAAATTGTAATAAAAACGCAAATTGTAATACTTGCAGCAAATTGTAATAAACTTGACGTAAATTGTAATAAAAACGTAAATTGTAATAAACATTGACGTAAATTGTAATACGCAAATTGTAATAAAAATTGACGTAAATTGTAATAATTTTCCTTGCGGTAAAATGTAATAAATATTTACGTAAATTGTAATAACAGTTTTAATCACTCGTAAATACGCGGGTGTTTGTTTTTCGTTGCATTTCATACATCAAATAAGCTTGTTAGGGCGATAACTCAAGAAAGAAATGATGGATTTTGTTCAAATTTGGTACCAAGGTATATTGGCGAGATTCACCGACACAAGTGAAATGGAGTGACCTTGAGATAATTTTCAAGGTCACAACAAAAATCTGAGGGTTTTGCCAATATAAAGATTGTTAGCGCGATAACCCAAGAAAGAACTGACAAATCTTAGCCAAATGACGAAAATGATATTCGTCCTGATAAATAATCGATATAAAATCTCTTACTGTCCTCTGTATCATGTCTTTTCGCAAATATCTTTTGAGGTTTTGATATGTATGAATATAAAGTGCGGCGGGGTAGGGGTGGGTTTCTAACGGGTATATCAAATCAAATCAAATCAAATTAGACATTTGTATAGCGCTACATATCCAGAGTCCTGCTCATGTGCGCTTAGTCGAATGCTCGTTTGAAGAGGATGGTTTTGCGACAAGATCGGAAACTGTTGATATTTTCCGATTTTCTGACATTTTATCAATTCCAGAGTACAACACCCGGTCTGCTAAATGATCTGTCTCCGTATGTTGTGGTTCGGACAAATGGAATAGCCTAGCTGACTAGCAATGAAATGCATCACAAATTAAACTTCAGGAAACAAAATATGCAAGAAACATTTTTGTATGTTTGAAATTGGTAGAGGTCGGCTAGAATCAAACTTAGATATTAAACTGCACAAAAAGGCAATTTGAAACTACAATCGCTTGTTCAAATGACTCCCCCTTCGGTTTATTGAAAGAACTCGAGAAAGAAATGATGGATTTTGTTCAAATTTGGTACCAAGGTTTAATGACGAGATTTACCCACACCACTTGAATTTAGTGACCTTGAGGTCATTTTAAAGGTCACAGCGAAGGTGTAACAGTTTTGTACATGCCAAGCTTGGTAGCCGCGAACTTAGGAAAGAATTAATAGATTTTGATCCAATTTTATATCAAGGTGTATTGGCGGGAATCCCCCTACACCAATTGAAACAAAATATGCAAAAAACATGTTGTATGTTGGTAAAAGTCAAACTTAGATATTAAACTGCACAAAAAAGCAATTTTAAACTATAATCGCTTGTTCAAGTGACTCCCCCTTTATGTTTACTGAAAGGGCTTGTTTTGGAGACACTACCCACCCCCTTTCAGTTGACGTCATCATAAGGATATAACTCATCCTAAAGTTTTCACTTATTCATACATGGTGTCAAGGGTTCAAACTAAATACTGAATGGTCACACAAGTGTCAGCTCTCAATATGTTGTATATCTGGACACAATGTTTTTGAAAATTTAAAATGAGGGTGTCCTAAAAAAAACAGTCCCCGTCTAAATGTAAATCAAGCAATCCAAATATTTGAATGTTGATGATGACGGGAAGTCATCCAATACTATGCTGAACATATTTTATATGATACTATCTGAGGGTATACCATTATCCAAAGGATAGCGCAATAGTGCAGTGGTAAGGCGTCTGCCTATCACGCTGAAGGCCCGGTTTCGAGGAGGCACCGAGGTTCGGGTCCCGAGATGGGCACATTTGCGTAGTATCCTTGGACAAGATACTTAGATCTACACTGTCTCAGTTCACCCAGCTGTAAAATGGGTACCCGTGAGTATGTGCTGGCAATGTGAGTGTTTAGTTCATTGCGCCTAACAGGCAGCATGGCTGTACAGTCCCCAGGGAGTTGAAAAGTATCGGAAACTACGATAGTGTCCTATGATCGGGGATAGTAATGTACGTAGCGCCGTGAGCAGGCAATGTGCCTGGATGTGAGCGCCATATAAGCGGACTATTACTATTACTAGATACCAAATGGGAGATCGTTTTCCATTTTCTGCAAATTTGCAAGAAACATAATACCCCAATGTTGTGATGACTAATATCTCGTTAACCACATTACCCACATGAAATTTTGGATATGACTTTGCTAATGATTCCTTCAAAATAAAATGGAAGCTTCTTTTCAAACATTGGACATCGAGAATATAGTTAGTTTGACTACTTTTTTCAACGCCCCTCGTAACATACTTAAAAGAAATGAGAACGTCTAAGGAAAAAAGCATTTCGATCTCTGAATACTTCTGAGCTATTTAAATACAAAAAGCAAAGGAATAAAGTAAATAATCTGAAAAGAATAGCCAAGGGAAACTTTTATTCTAATTTTGATAACTATTTATCACCTCAGTCTACTCAATCAGGTGGTTAGTACTTCATCGGGGCCCACTCCCCTTCTTGTCACTGATGATTCTGGGATACCTTCAGTTTTTACAGATTTGGATAAAGCTCAAACATTAAATGAATATTTTGTATCTGTTTCAAATGTTACTGATGGCGGCAAGACTTTGCCACCTGTTAGCCACCGGTGTGTTAACAGTATAACAAATGTCATTAACACGTCACAATTTTATTCTGGACTCACAAAAGTCCAGAAAGTCTCCGCACTGTGGGTACTTTCTGACAAGTGATTTGACCAAATGAAACATGCAGTTGTTATGAATATATGCCAAGGATGAAAAAATGGAAAAATAAAATTGCGAAAACTTTAGAATTAAACTCGCTCGCCCATGGGCCGGCCCATGTTTAATTTCGCTCAGAATTCATGTTTTGGAGGTTGTAAATGAATGAGTGTATGTCTATAAGCATCATGACACAAATTTCAGCTCATTTTGACTTAATTCGACTAAGTTAGAACGATATTAAAAACTCTCGCCCATCAAATTATATATTCTGTGAGACATGAAATGAAAAATAGTGAAAAAAAAGATTTTTCGTAATGTTGCATTGCTGTACCTTTACCCGTCGGAGAAGTCCTTCTCAAAAGATATATATTCCGTTGTTTGGAGCAGGCCTATATGACTATTACGCCCCAGTGCTGCTAAACAACTCGTAGACCTTTAGTCTGACATAGACGCAGACCTTGCATGTTCAAGTTCACATCTGATAGGGGCCGAAAAATTGAATCCGACATGAATGCAATATCTCATTGGGTTATTGTTTTCCTAAGTAAGTGGAGTGTCTTCTACAACATTGGAGACAAGTGTATCGCTGTCCTTCTGATATTCCCCCGAACGGAAGCTCTACCCATTTTAGGTACAATGTGCATGTTACAGAATAGTAGGGAATAGTCTTAAGACGTTTCAACTTTGACCAGGATTCTCCGAACTTGTAACAGTCGTTTGAGAGATCAAAAGAGAAAGGGGTAGTGCGCGATGTATCTGACGGACGTATGTGGAGAACGTTTGAAGAATGTTACTGTATAAATACAATAATTGAAATACCAGTTATGTTTAAAAAGTACCCTCAATCTGATAGCCAGAGAGATTATTGTGAAAGATCGCAGTATTTATCTTCATAAACGGGCCAAGATAAAAGTACATGCCATTCATCCCCATATTATATCCCTTCTATATACAAGGGACATCGTTGTTACAGGTAGGGCAAACACTTTCTTCTATAGGTATCTGCCGGTTTCACGCTACATACATGTATTCAGATTATTGAGAAAACTAGCGACGCAAGATCTCCTCCATCACACATATAATTGTATACACATACCCAGTGATTAGTGATAGCGTTGAAGCAACTTATTAAAATTTACGACAGACACTATCAGCTGCAGTAGTACTGCCATACCTAGCATCGTATTTATTACTCTCTTACATAAGGTGAAATATCACAGGGTTGTCATGGTAACGATAATTTGGCATACTATTTATTGTCTTACTCTTTAATCAGCGATTAGAATTTAAATCAGTTTTGAGGTCAGCATGTTAAGAGAAAAAAAGTTGTAAAACGAAAAGTATAGTGATCGAATCTATTGGCCTTTGTAAAAGCAAGTTTCAAGCCACCTACATAAAAACCTGTTTTTCATGATAAATATCTGCTAATCCGTGGCATGATTCCGACCATATCATGAGCATGAATCATAATCAAATAGTGATGTTACAAGGCGTCCATGCATGCCGCGTCAACAACACATGCAAACGCACGAGAATTGCAATACGAGCCCCTACACCAATGATTCTCCGTGACCTGGAGACACTTGTGATTGAGCGTATGTAGGGACGTAGTCTGTCATACAGACCCTGAAGCAAATATATCCAAGTCCACGCAAGTCTAGAAAATG